GAGGCTTCTCTGGGGTGGTGGATGTACTCCCGCTTGAGGTACTTAGACTTGTAGTCCTTGTACTGCTTGTGGAGGAACGCAGGAGGGTCGGGGGAGGGTTCCGCGGCTTCATAAATGTTGGTGTGTTCGCCACCTCGCTATCGGCATCATTCTCTTCTAAGCCGACCTGTTCAGTCAAAGGAGACAGCCGTGACCGCGATGAACGCGGGCGCAGCGGCGCGAGCGGAAGCGGGGGCGGGATGTCTCTATATTGAGGCTGCGCATACTGAACTTGTTGAGAAGGCCAATACTGAGGCTGCTCGTATTGAGGTCGGTCATACTGAGGCCGGTCATATTGTGCCTGGTCGTACTGGGCTCTACTGTTGCGCAGAGACGGTGGTCGTTTGAGTCTGAGGGGTTGTATATTGTATGTGTAAGGCCCGGTGGGGTACCGGTAAAGGGGTTGGTTGGATGACTGCATCCTGAGTGAAGTCTTTGCTGTCCCAGTGAGAAGCCTCTGATAAGTTCACAAGGACCGTATGCCGACAGAAGATGCAGAAAGACAAAATACATCGAAAGTCCTCAATGTGCGGGCGTTTCGGCAGTGAATATAAAAGAACGAACGAAGGGCAGCGCCAGCCAAGGGATGCGATGCAGGCCTTGACTAGCAGGACAGAAAGAATTGATCGGACCACTAGTCCATCATATACTCGACCAGAACTAACATGGTCTAGAATATTGAAACATGGGAGGTGATAAATCGGCGCCCATTGCCCATTGCTCCCTTCGCCACGAGCAGAGGGAGGATTTGGCTCCTTGGGTTCAGATCTATGGGTGTACTGGCTGAGACATCTTCAAGCTGCCCACGATCTGTGGAGCCGGGGGAGAAAAACCACCAGCAAGATTCTGGGAGTACAGTGATTCGCGTCATGACACCTGTGGCGGTTCCATAATTATCTCAAGATGCGTTGGACAAGAAAGAGCGAGGCTGAAAGAAATCAGATGGCATATGCGTTCTAATTCACGATGTGGACGGAGAGGCGACCTCTGAGAGGTTCCCAGCCTCTCTCAAGGTTGCGGGTGGAGAGATGGACCGACTGACTAAGGGCGTTAGTGGAGGGAGAATACCAATACCTGGCTTCACATGCTCCCAGCTCCGAGGAATGGCTGAAGACTAGTTCAACTTCCGAGACCTCCAAAAGTCGAGTATCTAGAGAACCATCAGCTGCAATGTGCTGCATATTGTTCTCGACCGGCAGATTTTCATAATCCCCGAATTTCGGATGTGGC